TCCCCATCCATGCTAGAATGTCAACTGATATCATTGTGCAGGCCTTGTTTAGGTAGCAACATTAAGATTTCATGTATTACTCTTCCAATACAAATTGTAAAACCCATATAAAAGTATTATTCCTGTTGTGGTTTATGGTCAACACTAGAACAAATCCATAATAGAAATGAAACTATTTTTTTAACTAACTTTGGAAAACCAAAATAATTTGTCATTTCATGTCTTTGCTTAGTTTCAAATTTTAAGACACTTCATTTTTTTAGAAATGTATTTTAAAAGTAAAAATATTAATATTGACCTCTCAATATTGTGTGATAGGAGGCATAGGTACTAGTTTCCAACTAGTTTACAATTTTAAGGCCTTCAGGATCCTACAAATACTATAAATATTTTTTCTTGGGCAATCTATTTGCTTTATTATACCCTGCTGTTCTGGTTGGTAAGAGTGCAAGACTGAAAATACTGTGTTCTTGAAAAAGCTGTGTAGGCATATCAAATCAAAATAAGAGTCCATGGTGTGATCCAGAAATGGAAAGATGTTGCCACGTAAAGACAAGAGAAAATAGTAAAAAGAAATCTTTATTTTCATGTTGAAATTTGGATTTCAAGTTCATCAATCTCAAAGGATACCATATTTGAGGGAATTCTGGGGAGAAGAATAAAGTTTCCTGTTCTTTGTTTTAAAGACCATTTATTTGATTCTTAAAAGTCTGATTATTCTGGTTGTGAGCTCAGCCTTTAATGGCTAAGCCATCCCTCCAGCCCCTGACTATTTACAATATGTCAGGTAATGCTGCTGTGTACCTCAGAGTAAAAACAGGTGCCTCACTTCAGGAAATGGTGAACCCCCTTCCCCATATTTATACTGTACTGAATACATTTTATTAAAGGATGTGGTATGTAGAAGGTGGCATTTAACCAGACTTGGCACTTAGTTCTCAATAACAATAGCTATTAGAGTCTCCAATAGTCTTCATAGCTGTTTTTCTATGGAGTCAGGAATGGTGTTCAAATTTTTTCTTAAATATTATATTCAACTAAAATGATCATTATGTCTGTGATGTTGTAGTAAAAATGTTAGAACAACATGTGATAATAATAATAATAATAATAAAACCTTCATGACTGTTTAGACACTCAATTAGGCCTCCTCCCCACATGTCCAGGATCCCATGGGCATCTCTTAACAGCTTTATGAATCATGTGCTTAAATCAATTGAGTAAAACAGAATTAGGGATGACACGCTACAGTGTGAACATGCTTTCAGGTAACTGGATTTATCTTGATAGACAATACAATTGTTCTTTCGTACTTTAAAACAAGTGACAGGGAAGAGAAACAGTACTTTTATTAAGGAACAACTAACTGTTCAATAAATTAGCTTTTACCATCTTGGGAACCCAGTTCTTTCATAGAACGTGGACATGAACACTGATGTGATATAATCTCTTCTAAAGACCAGGCACTTAAATTGTTTCTTGGTAAGTAGAACGTTTAGAACCATGCCATTTAATATTGTCATCCTTAGCCACAAGAACCTCTTTAAGTTTAAATTAATCTGGTCTGAAGATTTAGTACCTACCCATGCTAGCCATATTTGAGCTTAGCAATTATACTTGGCCAGAAGCTGGCATGTTGGCCAGGGCAGGTGCAGACGTGTGTGCATCATTGCAGATGTCCCTTGCCTCCTGTCACTCTAGTGTGCCTTGTAGAAAAGAACAGTCGCTATTCATTATTTGTAATTACAACCATCCTGCCTTGAGTCTTTTCCTCAGCATCTTCCAAATGCCGAGGAAAGGACTTGGCAAGAACTTTGACACTTCAAAATGACTTTAAGTTTAGTACAAGTTAGAACTGAGGTAAAATTCAGCCATGGAGTGCTTTTACTCAGGGCCTTGGGGAAAGCTTGGAGATTTTGTAAAAGAAACGGTTAATCAATGGGATCAATGCTCTCTCTGCAGTGCCTTCCAAACCCTTCCTCCTGAACGCCCAGCCATTCTACTCTGCGTGCTGCGGTGGGTCCTGCAGGCGCCCTGCCTCCCCCACAGCTTTTGCAAGTAAGTTTTAATGCTTCATCAGCAATGCCTCAGTTACTTTGTAAACCAAAGCAGCAGGATTTAATGTGCTCAGGGAAGCTAATTGGCAGTGCAGCGGCAAGGAGCTAATGCCTCACTAAAAATCACAGCGACCCCATTCAGGAGGTTTCCAGAGATTATCAAACCTCTGCACAGTGAGCGATTGTGAGAGGGTTTTCGGCCACACTAAGTCCGGAGCTGACAGGCCAAGGCAAAGGCTTGTTTTCCATTTGGTATAAAAGATCTTAGAGGGACCAGTTTGGCTCTTTCTGAAACCTGTAGCCACACTCCGTTAAAGAAAGGGGGTAGGGGCGGGGAGGAAAGCAGGCATAGAGAGTGCACTCTGTTTTTTTCATTAGGCTTCAAAAAACTCAGAAGTCACAGGTGTAGAAAATAATTAGAAACTGGAGACCATAAAGAAGAAGTAAATTATTATCTCTATCTTCCTGAAGAAAACCGGCCGGGCTTTGTAGGGAATGTTTTCAGGGAACTGGTCTCTAAACGTTCTAAAAGCAAAATTCATTTGTGTCTGGGAAAGAAGAGGAGAAACGGAACAGAGCAGTGGTCTGGGGCCCACTCTCTCTCGTGCATATAGGTATCTTGGGATGTCAGTAAAAATCTATAGGCAGAAGATGGAGGCTTGACAAGGCGCTTACGCAGGCACACAGCCACGCCAGGTGAGAGTGGAGTGAGGGTGAGTCCCAAGCCACAGCTCCATGGCCCTGTAGGTGTTCATGTGTTTTATGGATGTTTCAGGAGAGTAGTTGCCCCACCAAATGACTCCCAACAAGCGAGGCAGCAAATGCTGCTGTTTAATGAGCTGCAGGCTTGTGAGCATCTCTTTAGGGGGCCGATACTTTCCCACAGAGCCCTTTACACGGCTGGGACGTGGCTACAATGGGTGACAGACCCGTGACCAATCCTCACTTTTGCTGGACTCATCCACACGCGACCTCACCACGATTTTTCACTCTGCAGATGAACTTTAGGGACCATTTCACAGTGAGAGGGCTTGGGCAAGGGTCATTTGTCCTTTTGTATGGTCATAAAGCCAGTCTCTGTGTGTCAGCCTTTTCTCCCGCTTCGCATTCCAAGTGAATTTCTGGACACCATTTAAAGCCCTTGACTGAAAAATAAAGCAGTGAATTGAACTGACTTTTATAGACTCATTCCAGCTCATCTTCCCATATAGCCCTGTCCACCTGAAAGGGGATTTAGTGCCTGAGCTGACTGTATATAGGGACTTGCTGAATACACAGGGCCCATTATCAACTGTGGGGATTGTTTATTAACCAGGACTGATACACTGCTATTTTGGCAGTGACCTATTAATTGTCGATTTAACTAGAATGTATTGAATTTGAATAGTGAGATAGAAACCATGACTAAACCTTTTACTCGCTCCTTCAAGGTGGTCCTCTATGAGGGCAATTGAAAACTTGTGCAAATTAAGGAACCATTTATCACCAGATATTAGAGTGGCAGGCAAAGATGTCTGGAGGAGATACAAACCCAGATGTAAAAACACAAAAACAAAAACAACAACAACAAAAACAACCCCCCCCAAAAAAAACAAAAAGTCATCTCAGAGGCACCTATGTTTATTAAAGGGATCTCACACTTAATTTCATTTATTTTGCATTCATTTCATCTTTTGCAAAGATGGATAGCAACTCCATCTTGCTATCTTTTACCTCAGAAGGTTACTAGTACTACCACTCAGGTGTGTGGAAATAGGCACAAAAGTTTCATGTGATAGGGATGTTCAGGTGTGTGGGTACGGTGTATTTATTTTATAGGAGTGTTTTAAAAGAGTCTCTAACCCATAAAAGTTTGGGCAAGTTTAATAAACAGGAAAAATCATTGGGTCAGTTTAATGGAGCAAGTCATTTTCTCAAGAGCTCGAATGATTATTTTGAGCAGGTCCCGTTTTCTCTCATTAGTTCTCAGTCCTTCCCACTCTGTGCTCTCGGCATAGCTGTTGGAAGTGATGCTCATGCCTCCAGGAATTAAAGCCCAGTGTTTATGTTGCAAAAAAAAATAAATAAACACATGGCTTGAAAGATAAGTGTGGTTCAGATCAAGGATAGAAAATGCTGCCCTTGACTTGTCTGTCCTCCTAATGTTGGCCTTTTAAGACCATTTAGAGATCTGACATGTGTTTTTAATAAATGGAGCTATGTCATATTATTAGTTATAACTCTGAAATGAATATCTTATTTTCCTGTTTATAATGTTCATTCACATTGGCAGCAACTAATAAGAAGGTGGGATCTTGCTTTCCATAAAGAATTCTACAAAAGCAACTATGACAACCAGGGCACAGCTAATGAGCTTTACATCTGAAGTGCTTTTTCACTAAAGGAATTTACTAGTTTTTCTTTTTTAAAATAATAAGTGTTTATGTCCAAGTTGCTAAATTATTTTCCATTGCAGAAAAAAAAGGAGAGAAAGAAAATGAACTGTTGAAGTAAACTTGTGTTAAGTTTCCGCTTGGACAGCCAAAAGTAAGGTTTACACTAAAAGTTTTAACAAGAGATGAAACTGATGGCTGCCATTGTTGCTTCACAATGTTGGCTTCACTTTTTCCCAAAACCCAGCATCGGGTCAGCACATCTGCAGCTAAGCAAGTGAAATGCCTTTTCCACTCATAATGTGATTCATTTGTTTCATGTCGATTGGGGTTTTCTTGGCTTCTCAGATTTAGACTTGACTCCTTGTTGCAATGTGGAAGCCATCGTTCACCAGTGCCCTTCTCACATGCAGTAAATAGTTTAATGGGCTGTTTCAGCACTATGCTAAAACACTGAGAACAGCAGAGAAAATGGAAAGGCACCAGTCAAAGCTGGCCCCTCCCCTAAAGCACTGC